CACTTCCACCTGATTCGCCATCTTGTTGGTCCTCCCCCCATCTCTTTTTACCAGACCCATCTAGATAAGATGAAAACTATTCAATGGGGAGTCTATCTTCCCCTGCACACTCTGAAATTAAGCTCCCTCTTGAAACCTTGTAAGCCAGTCACTTAGTGCCTTCATTGCCCCCTCATTTTAGGTAGCCAATATCTAAGTTGCCTGTCCCTATCTACCCTGTGTACAGAGGGGATAGCATTGATATCTAAACTCATTCTTGGCTTTGTTCTATCCAGCTGTGTGTTTCCTTAGGGTAAACTGATCTGGGAGGAAATGGGGAGGTGGAAGGGAAGTTGCTCAGGTATGGCCATACCTAACCTGGCCCACAGACTGGTGACGGCGTGAATGATGCTCCAGCCCTGAAGAAAGCAGAGATTGGCATTGCCATGGGCTCAGGCACAGCTGTGGCCAAGTCAGCGGCAGAGATGGTGTTGTCAGATGACAACTTTGCCTCTATTGTGTCTGCGGTGGAGGAGGGCCGGGCCATCTACAGCAACATGAAGCAATTTATCCGCTACCTCATTTCTTCCAATGTCGGCGAGGTCGTCTGGTGAGAATCTGCATTCCTTCCTCTCTGCCCCTCTGGTCCAGCTTCTTGCACCCCTCAGATAGAGAAATACTTGCTTGAGGGATGGCTGAGAAAGGACTGGCATATCCCAGCCCTCGAGGAGGTGCCTGAAAAGTCCCCTGTTGCCCCTTCAGCCATGACTACCTTCCCACCTTCAGAGTCACAAGATGGGACATGCTAACCCCACCTCTGGGCACTTACGTGTTGGTGTGTGGACCTGCACAAGAATTTAAATGTGTATGTGTCTCCACATGGTTGTATGTGCCTAAGTGAGAGGTGTTTGTGCACATGTGTACTTACATGCATGCTTGGTTATGAGTACAAACACATGTAGTTGTGGGAATCATGAGCCCAGGTTTGCCTATGCATGTGTGAATTCTGCATCTCCACACGTCAGTACAATCGTGTGGGTGTGTGCGCTAGGTTTTTGCATGTGTTTGTGAACAAATGTGTGTATGCTTGGGAATGCCCTGTTCTGTGTTCATGTCCTTTTAGCTTCTACTAGGACCTAAAGAGCAGGCATGTCAGGGCTGCGGAGTTGGGACTTGGGGGGCGGGGCTGGCCCAATGTGAGACAGATGCGCACATACATCAGGACTAGTAAGGAGAGGTGGAGCTGCTGTGGAGACAGTGGGCGAGCTCCCTGGTCTGCTGGGGGCTAGAATCCGTGACTCTGCTTCCAGCATCTTCCTCACGGCAATTCTGGGCCTGCCTGAAGCCCTAATCCCCGTGCAGCTGCTCTGGGTGAACCTGGTGACAGATGGCTTACCTGCTACGGCCCTGGGTTTTAATCCACCAGACCTGGATATCATGGAGAAGCTACCCCGGAACCCCCGTGAGGCCCTCATCAGTGGCTGGCTCTTCTTCCGCTATCTGGCTATTGGTGGTGAGTAGGGCCCCAGTCCTCAATGGGGTCCTAGAAACCCAGTTTGGGCTCATAAGATTACATGGATGCTTCCGGAATAGTAGATCCTGGCATCAGACCCCTTTGCTGTTTGGCTCTGTCTCTGCTCTATTCTCAGGCAGGTACCCCTCAGGGTAGCAGGATGGCTGCTGCAGCTCCAGCCCTCATGTTGATTCTCCTACAACGCCAAATCCAGAAGAAAGAGCCTTTTATCATACTATTCCCTCAGTGGTGTGATAGAAGTCTAAGGCCTATTCTCATTGGCCCAAATTGGGCCTACTTATCACTGTGATTACCAGGGGTGTAACAAAGGCTCATTGCAAATCAGGGCATACCACTGGTGTTGAGAGTTGTGGTTGTGAAGTACCATCTAGTCGGCTCCAATGCACAGCAACCCTGCAGAGGGTTTCCAGGGAACAGCTGGTGGGTTTGAACTGCTGACCTTGTGGTTTGCAGTCCACTGTTGGTCCTACAGTGCCACATTAGGATTCCTGATGCTGAGGGTTGTTGTTGTGAAGTGCCGTGAGTCAGTTCCGACTCATAGCAACCCTGCATAGGGTTTTCAAGGAGCAGCTGGTGAGTTTGAACCTTTGACCTTGCAGTTCAAACCGACTTTGCAGTCCAGTGCTTTTCCTACAGCGACACACCAGGAGTCCTAGTGCTGAGGGTTGTTGTTGTGAAGTGTCGTCGAGTCGGTTCCGACTCCTATCAACCCTGTATAGGGTTTCTGAGGAGCAGCTGGTGGGTTTGAACTGCTGACCTTGTGGTTCACAGTCCAGAGCTAATCCACAGCACCACACCAGAAGTCCACTGCTGAGGGTAGATGTATGCAAATCACATGGCTTACAGAGGGAGAGGGTGGTTCCCTGAGGGGGAATTTCAGGGATTCGTCAGGTAGGGAAAGGATGGTCAGAAAACCACCATGGTCCACTACAGCCCTTTCCTTCTCCCTCCCTGCAGTGTACGTGGGCCTGGCCACTGTAGCTGCCGCCACATGGTGGTTCCTGTATGATGCCGAGGGACCACATGTCACTTTCTACCAGCTGGTGAGCAAGGGGGTGCCCAGAAAGCCAGTTGGAGGTTAAACTTGAGATAGAACTTCCAGCTTAAGTTGGCAGTTTAGGGGTGTCAGAACCCTGTGACTGGCCAACAACAGTCTCACCCCAACCCCGTACGTGTATATATAACTATCTACAACCTAAACAACCCCTGGAAACCTGGAGATATCCACACAGCCGCCTAAGCCAGAGAAGTGTGTGCTCCCTCTCCTAGTCCGTTGAATTAGGGAGGGACGGAGGGGCAGACCTGCCCTGCGTGTTTTCCCTTCATCAAACCCACTGCTGTGGAGTTGATTCCAGCTCATAGCTGTTCTGCAGGACAAAGCAGAAGTGTTTCATAGGGTTTCCGAGACTAAATCCTCATGGGAGCAGGCAGTCTCATCTCTCCTGTGGAGTGGCCAGTGAGTTTGAACTGCTGATCTTGTGGATAGCAGCCTGATTCTTAACCCACTGTGTCACCAGGACGCCTTTACTTTGATCATGGAACCCCTAAAGACCGGAGGCCTCCGAGGCACGGTGGAGCTTTAGGCAGTGGTCAGACTGAGGAGGAGAGGTGGAATCAGCCTGGCTGTCCTCCCCACTGTGCCAACAGATGTTCCTCAGAGGAGGGAAGTCACCTGGCTTGGCCTTGGGGAGGTGCTCACCACAGGCCAGATTAGCTGGGTACAGCTCTAGAAACCAGCGAGGAGAGCCCTCATTGGCCTTCTATCAATCTGTCCCTCTGTCCTAGTGTTCAACATCTTGTCTCGAGAGCCTTCATGGTAATTACTACAGACCTAGCTGCAGGTTCTCATTGAAGCAGAGAACTGTGGGGATGCAGAACATTCTTCCTGTGGGTATGGGAACAAGGGTTCAGGGAGGGCCTCCTCCCATCCCTGGGGAAGGCAGGAGAGCCCTGTGAAGTAGCTTCTCCCGTGTTCCATCTCCCTGGTGTGTGGGCAGTGCAAGGACCCAGATTGCCATCACTGGCTTCTGGTGTCAGGATTTCACCCAGCATGCAGCAGCCACATCCAGGAGGAGGTGGGATGGCTTCCTGGGAAAGAGGCAGCCCAGGGCTACTTTCCTGACCCTCACTAACCCTAAACACACAGGGTTTGCTCTCCTTTCTCCAGTAGAGCAGAGTGTGGGCTCCTGGCTGTCATCCCAGAGGCTGGGGTTCTCCCCAGCCTAAGGCTGTGTGACTTTGGACAAGCTACTTAACCTCTCTGTGCTTTGGTTTGAAGATCTAAAAAGTTAGTATGATAATAGTCCGTACCTCATAGGGTTATTGAACAGCACATGACCACCTACCAGTTGCCATCAAGTGGATTCCAACTTACGGTGTCAGAGTAGAATTCAGAGTTTTCAGTGGTTTTTGGAAGTGGATTGCCCCAAATACACTGAGAAAGCCCCATGGTTGACTTAAATGAGATAAGATTCTCAAACTTTTTAAAATAAGAAATCTTGACAAGCCAAGCTCTTTTATTACTTCTCATCGCCCATGAGAAGTAGGAGGAAGGTGCCCACGTGTATGCTTCTAGAGGAACTAGATGTGATAGCTGGGCAATAGATCTGACAGCTCCTGTAAAGATTTACAGCCTCAGAAACCCTATGCAGGGTTGTATGAGTCAGAACTGACTTGAGGTCACATAGCCATTACCATGCCTGGGTCAGACAGCTAGTCATTCTGCAGGCCTCTCTTTGAGGGTTATTGTTCATAGCACGTAGCACCAGTTTCTAAGTCCCTAGGTTGAAAAAGCTTTATGTTCAGCCTAGACTCTAAGGTCAGATTAATGTTAGAGAACTGAGCTGATTAACTGTTTAGGAACATTCACACTCAATTTCATGGTGAAGAGGAGAACAGGGTGGAGAGTCTCAAGATTGTTGTCGGTTTAGCCTATTATTTCAGCCGATTCTGTGAACAAGGTTATAAACAGAAAGACAACTCTTTCCTGGGCTTATAAAGAGGGCTACCCCTGATTCTCTTGCTCTGATATCTTCCTGCTCATTGGAAAGCTCTATGTTGTTAAGGCTGTGCTCTGTGAGTTTGTTTAACTACATTACAAGCAAAAAGCAGGGTCCACAGAGCTCCATCTCAGTGGCAGAAATGGAGTGAGGCATAAATGGAATTGTATTTAATAACCATTAACAAGACATTTCTGCACCCCCAAAGCTACATGCTACTCAAGCACAATTTTGCTGGTTGATTTTCAGCTTTGCTTATTCTGTGATCTCAATCAGTTACCACCTTGACTCCTGTACCTCAAACCCCCATGTGCCTAGTGTGGACCCTGTTGTCCTCCCCAACCTTACAGGAGGTGTGTGTGGGGTCTTTGTTTGTGGCCCCAGGGATAGGGATAGGGTTTGGTGTGGGCGAAAGGTTATGCACTTGGTTTTAGACTTGGTGAGTGCCATGTGTCTATGGGACAGCTCAGAGAAAGTGCCCAACTGCTTTCCTTCGGATCCACCAGACCCCTGTCCCAGGATGGCCCTGCCCTCCTCACCCCTGTACATGTGTTCCTGCCTCAGCATAGTACAGCCCCCCAGGCACCTGAGCCCCCCACCATAGATACCTGTTCCTAGCTCCCTGACCCATGCTGTGGCTGCGTTTTGCCCACTGGTCATGACTGAGTCTTCAAGGTGTATGCTGAGGACAAGGTAAAGCATCCCTCTTCTGACTAGCCAGGCCCCTCCCCAACTGCTGCTTTCCCCAATGCCTCCCAACCACACGTTGGCTCCTGCAGAGAAACTTCCTGAAGTGTTCCAAGGACAACCCACTCTTTGCCAATGACAACGTTGACTGCGAAGTCTTCGAGTCCCGCTTCCCAACAACCATGGCCCTCTCTGTGCTGGTGACCATTGAGATGTGCAACGCCCTAAACAGGTGGGCTGGCCCCAGCCCTGGATTTGGGGGTCGAAGGGATGGGGCAGAGGAAGCTTAAGGTTGGATCTGAGGGTCAGAAAAGCCCAGGTCTGAGGGATAGAGGAGTCCAGGTTTGAGGGCTGAGGGTCCGAGGGGTTCAGGCTTGGGAGCTGAGGGTCAGGGCGGTCTAGGATTGGAGGCAGTGAGAAAGAAAGGCTTACAAGGGGTTCTCAGAGTCAGTGGGGCCCAGAACTAAGATCAGGACTCAGGCCAAAGATTGGAAGAAATAGATCAGAGTCTGAAGGGTGGAGCCCCAGCACAGGCTCCTAGAGGAGGGCAGGCAGGCAGCTGAGCCCTCCCAGCTGCACCCCTTCCCAGTGGCTCTTGAGCTTTTAGCCCCAAGCAGAGCGGTGCTGAGGCTCAGGCTAGCCTTGCATGGTGGGCACCGACAGCAGGGCCATCAGCCCGGCCTGAAGTGAGCGCTCCGTGCTCTTGGCAGTGTCTCAGAAAACCAGTCGCTGCTGCGGATGCCACCCTGGCTGAACCCCTGGCTGCTAGCTGCTGTGGCCATGTCCATGGCCCTGCACTTCCTCATCCTGCTGGTACCACCTCTGCCCGTGAGTCACCCACCCCCTTATCTGACTCCTGGGGTGACAGGGTCCAAATTCCCCTCTGACATAGGCCCTGAGCTGGTCTTTGGTCCTGCCTGGAGGATAGGGACATGCGTGTGGCATCTGAAGCTGCTCGGTGCGTGAGCTCTGTCCAGGCACTGTCTCTAATGTGCCCCTCCATCAGGATCCCTCAGACTGTGTGTGTGTGGAGGGGGGCCAGAAAAGGTGAAGACGCCCTGCTTCAGGGAGGTTTCCAAGCCTGGGACAGGAGAAAACAGTTGGTAGAATCCCTCCCACGTCCCAACAGGATGGACAGGCAGTGGGCATGTGGACCAAGGCCGGGGAGGGCATTGCAGGAGAAGCAAGCAGAACAGATAAAGATCTGTCTGGAGGTGGGAATTCAAGGGGCGTCTTAGTTGTGCTTTTGAGCGTCCAAGTCACCCAAGCAGATGGAGTGGGTGGGGTGCCATCTTGAAAAGACCCTCCTTTAACCAGACCTCCCCCCACCCAGCTCATTTTCCAGGTGACCCCACTGAGCGGGCGCCAGTGGGTGGTGGTTCTCCAAATATCCCTGCCTGTCATCCTGCTTGATGAGGCCCTGAAGTACCTGTCACGAAACCACATGGACGGTGAGTGGACATGCCGGACCCTCTGTACCCTGCTCACTGCCTCCAGCCACCTACCTGCGTGCTTCACTCTTTGGGCTGCAGAGGGCGCCAAGGTGTGAATAGCTGCGGACCTTGCTGGGTCACCAGGTGGAGAACATAAAGGTGCTCTGTTGGCTGGGTCTTGGACTGCAGGGGCCAGGGCGGTGCAGGGAGGGGCACCGCTGCATGCCTGCCTCACTGGTCACCACTCCTGCATGGCCAGGACCGCTGTCCCCTTACTCAAGGCCTGGGTTGTGATCTGACTCCTCTGACCGCAGTCCATTTCCATCCAGGCATTCTCAGGACAGTCTCCCAGGCTTGGAGTGCGCAGCCGCTGCCTGCCTCCCGGACCCCAGACCACACTGGGTTGGCCTCTTCTGTGTCATCTTGTGGGTGGGTGGTGGGTGAGTAGGTAGAGGTCTTTGCTTCTGAGCTCACAGCTCTGGATCTGCCTTAAACCCCAAATGCCAGGGGTTCTGGGTGCCCAGGAGCAAGCTGGCACCTACAGTCTGCTGCCCGCCTCTGCCAGGGGAGCTCAGAGAACAGGGAGTTCTGAACCTCCCTAAGGCCAGAGAAGCAGCTCTGTTCTCACTTGTCAGAGTGGCTCCGAGCAGGAGGAGGTGGGGAGGAGCACCCCGTTTCTGGGAGCTTATGCCAAGGCAGTGGCCATGTTGAGAAGTCAGGGGGTGTCCAAGGAAGGCTGAGGCCTGAGCTGGTGCTGCTGGACCCTTAGGGACCACCTCTGGAAGGAATGTGCACCAGCCACAGGGGCGGGCTTGAGGGGATTGGGCTATAAATAGATCACGTGCCTGTCATTCCAAGGAGCCAAGGCCCTCAACTAGCCCCCATCTCCCACGCTGGCCAGTCCCCTGGGTGCTGCAAATAGTTTATCTTTTTTAAACCACCGTACAAGTTGGCCTCCTCTATCTGGAGAGGCTGACCAACCACGTTTGTCCAGAGCGTGACTAGACACATATGGGAGCTCACCTGAGGGTTGCCCAGGGTAGAAGACCGAATCAGGCCAGTCTGTCTGTAGGGGGTTCTTTATGACTCACCTCCATGGCCCTTCCTGGAGTGATGAGGGAGGAAGAGGAGAAAATGAGTCTGAAGCTCCATTAGTGAAGCCCAAGGTCTCTCTGAGAGCCTCTGGCCACACGTGACCTCCCTAACTCACCTAAAAGCCCAGACCAGAAAACAGGCATCTCGGTGCTCCTTTGTCTTCTTCCAGAACCTTCCCTAGTGGCCACACTGCCAATGGGGAGGGAGCTGCTTCTTGGATACTGTTTAGCTTTAGCTGCTAGACAGTTAGGAATTCCCTGGCCCAACAAGGATGTCGATTAGAAGGGCTGGGGAGGGTACAATTTCTGCTCTCGGCTCAAGGTCAGAGATGATTCCTAGAAAGGTCAGGTCTGAGTGATGGTTAAAGGGGAGGGAGGATTGAGCCTGGTGGAGAAGGGCCTGGAGTTAGGGGTACAGGGTAGAGAGGTGAAGCCCAGAGGTTAGCAGGGGCCTCACATGCCCATGTAAACGCTCTGGACTTTATCCTTCTGGCAGTGGGGGCCAGACAGCCAGGGAGGCTGGTGGGAGGATGGTGAGTCAGTCTGTGAAGGGTTGGGAAGAGTTGCCCATGGCAGGCTAGGCCCAGGCCTGCCACTGCCACCAGAGGCCTGAGATGTTGACCAGGCTCCCAGCGAGGGGCAGCTGGAGAGTGGTGCCCAGATGTCCAGAGTGACTGTAGGGCCCCCGGGACATGCACCATCAGGAGGGGTGCCTGTGGCCACCTCTGAGAGGTGGGGGTATGGGCCTAAGGCGTAGAGCCAGACGGGGGCGGGGATGAGAGAGGGGACCCTGTTAAGTTCCCAAGCCAGCCGGGTGGCCTTTTAGGGAAGTCTTGCTGAGGGCTGACACTGGCTCCCCCGTGATTTATGAGGATATATCTTAAGGAAGACTGTGGATCTGGGTCAGCCCCAGTGGGACTAGGGGCCGTCCTGTTCCCCACCTCCTGGCTCTGCCCAGGTGTGACTGAGCAGCTATTGGGCAGGAGATTGAGGACTGGAGAGTCTCTGGGGACTGGTCTGGGAGGGTTAGGATGCAAGGCTTGTACTAAAGGGGGTGGTGGTGTCAGATTTGGGCTTTATTGTGGTAACTCTAGGGTGAAAGGGTGGTGATGAGGTAAGATGGAGACTGGGGGCTGGATTTGGAGGCACTGAGACTTGATGGGGCAGCAAAGGAAGAGATGCCACCAAGAGATTCTGGGGTGGCACCTGCAGGTCTTGGAGATGCTGGATGTATGGGGTGGGGGGGCAGTTTCTGTACTTAACTGTGTGATGGACTGAAAATGCGTGAATCAGAAGGGGGAGTGACGTGACTCAACAGAACCTGTGTTCCGAGGGGGCAGGGGTACGACATCCTGGAGTCCTGGTTGGAGTCACTGATGCCACGGGAACAGGGGTGGAGGGGTTAGGGGGAGCTGTCCAGAGATAATTGTAGGGTGTGAAGGAGACAGCCTAGAAGTGTCTTCTCACACCTATACCTTACCACACTCGGGTTTTCTTTCTAGAAGAAAAGGGCCAGAAGTGAATGCTGGGAGCAGAGTGAAGTCTCCAACGTTGTCCTCAGACTGATGATGAGCAAACACCCCTCCCACACGCCCCATCCCTGCTGCCACGCTCACCTGCTTGCTTCCCGGGCCCAGCTGGACATACCACAGTCCTAGTCCCGGGTCTCACCTGGAACCACCTCCATCTGACCGGGCCTCCATACTTCACGTCTCTAGGACTCTCCTGAACTGTAGCCTGGAATTGGGCCACCAGGAAACTGGAGCTGGTGGCAGAGCCAGAGCTCCGCCCTCCCAAATCCATGAGAGGTTCTGGAACTCCCTACGCTTGGAGGCTAGGCATTGACCAGTACATTCGCACTAACAGCGACTCCTGAGGGACACTCTAGCCATCTCTGACCTCTCCTTTAGTGCCTGAATTGGGGCCTGGTCATCAGGATGGGGGAGGGATGCTGCAAAGGGAACATCTGGGTCCAGCTGTGCACAGCAAGAGGAAGTACCCTCCACTCAGCTCTGCCTCCACAAAGTCGGCTCATGAGGACTTGAGCCTCTTTCTGTTTATACGTATGGGTCTCAGGGGGGTCAGAGAGGGAACCAAGAAGGGAGACAGAGGGCTGGTGCAAGGACCCTCCTTCCTTAGGGAGATAGCCCAGCCAGCCTGCTTCAGCTCAGCTGCCTTTCTGGGCCCAACTATCCCTTGTTCTAAGCAGATGAGACCTTCCCAGTCTCATTGTGACTTATCTGGTCTGCCAAGCAGATAGCCAATTGGCCGCCCTTGTCCCTGGCCCATGAGATCTCAGATGTCCTTGGGACCCTGACTGTTGTACCCTTGTATGTCCCACCCTGGTGTTCGGGTGATTCTGAGTCTCACTCACACCTATCACCCACACCAATACCCCTCTGAGGGGGTGGGAACAGGTTCTAGACAGAATCCTCCCCCCACTCTGGGACTCTTGGCCTCACCCTTAGCCCCCAACACCCCCATGACCCAGAATTCTGGATGACATGGACAATGGCTACTTGCCCAAGGCACTTCCTCTCCCTCCCTCTTCTCTCCACCCAGATCATGTCAAATGATAGGAAAATCAGGTTTGAAGAACAGAATTTGTCTCTTCACTCAGCTTTTGCCCCATTTGGCAAAAACTAGCTAGGTAGGTGTAGAACAAAGCAGGGTGTTAATGACAACCTAGGTCCACACCCCTCCTAGAGAGGGGACAAGTGTTTGTTTTATATGAACATCAACACTCACATCCCTGTCCTGTGACGGAAACAAAAGCTCCTTTGACCTGCTTGGCACATGGATAAGCGCTGTGCTCTGCGCTCTAGGGTAGCAGGTCTTGGCTGGGACAGGGCCCTGTAACAGCCTGCTGCCAAGCTGTTTGGTAGAGAATAATAAAGGTTGTGTGCCTGGGCAGCAGAAGATTCAGTGCCTGCTTTCCACTGTCTCTGCCCCTGGTGTCTACCTGGCCACCTACCTCCTGCACCCACCCTGGGAAATGGATAACACAGTATCGGCAGGGATGGGTCTTTGACCTTTGAAGAGGAGACTCCACATTTCTGCAGCTGTACTGGGGTGACCACAGCAGGTCTCTGCAGACTTCAAGGGGGGTTGGAGGTGGGAGATGTTTTGCAGACAGCACTTGAAGAGTATACACATGGGTTTAAAGCCTTTTACACAAACCACAGTTCACACCGAGGGAACTAAGATGGGGAGGGGCCTGAAGCTGAACCTCAGAGGCCCCTTGCACCCCTCAGGGAGGCTCCTAGTTCTGGCTGTTCTGTGGGTTCTGCAATGCTCTCGTTCTTGGACTTTTCCATCTCTACTTCCTGCCCTGCATCCAACCCCAGGAATGATATCCTCTTCCTCAAGGCTTCCCACAGTTCACACATCCAAAGGCCTCTGCACAGAGTGCTCGAGATTCCCCCTGTCTTGCCCAAGTGTCCCTGCCTTCGTGGGAGAGGGTGCCAGGCAGGGAGGTGCCATGTGCCCCCCACCCCCATCTCTCATTTCTCTCCTCATGGGAAAAGACTCACAAAGGCACTATTAAGTCCTCTCCACAGCTGCCCCAGGGAAAGGACATCATCAGCCTGCTGACAGGACCCAGTGCAAAATGAAAATGTGGGGACCCCTGCTCAAAAACAAAGACTTCCACAGTAGCTATAGCAGCACATTACACCAAGCATGGGGTCCTCAGAGCAGGGCTCAGCGAGGCAGGACCCCACCCTTCCCAGTGTTTTAGGGGAACAAAGATTGGAGCACAGCTCAGTGGAGAGTCAGGGGTGGATCCACAAATAAGACCTCAGATCACATAACCTTTACATGCTCCTCACCTACTAGGCTTATGAGGGGGACAACCAGAGGCTCCGGCACCATTTTATAGGTGAAGAGCTAGAGGTCCCAAGGGACCAATGACTGGCCCACAGTCTGGAGAACAGGCCCTGTGAGAATCTGACCGTCCTAGGAGACATGGTACTAAGTAAGATGGGCCCGTGGGACTGGTGTATGATGAAAGACTAGATCCAGCCTTCCCAGCAGCCTCTGGGGCTCCATGGTCAGGCCTGCTTTGCCTCCAGCCTGCAGCATGGAGCTCAGTAGGCCAAGATAGAGCAGCCAAGGTAAACAGAGGTTTCCTCACCTCACAGTGCAGCTTGCTCAGGAGGGAATTCTGGGGCATGCCCAGGCACACTCCTCACTGGCTCTGTGATGGTGCTGCCAAATGGCCATGACCTCTCCCCACCCCCTCCACAGACCAGGACTGTGCACTCCCACACCCCTCACGGCTCCTCCACTCACAGCTGTGGGAAGGACCACGCGGGTGCCTGTGCTGGGGGGACAGAAGGGTGAGAACAAGAGACGAAATGAAGACTTCTGTCCACCCAAAGGTCCACAGCAGCTTTATTCATTATAACCCAAATCTGGACACCATCCGACACCATCCATAGTCAGTCAGTAGAAGAATGGATAAGCAACCTTTGGTTCACCCCATACAATGGATTCCTCTTCGGCAGTAAAAAGTAACAAACTATTGACACACAAGGGGTGGTGATGGTAGTGGTTGTCACGTTCCATCGAGTAGGTTCCGACTCATAATGACCCTGAGTAAGGTACAGGGTCGCTATGAGTCGGTTCTGACTCCACGGCACATAACCACCACCACCACCAAGGTTTCTGAGAATGACTGGTGGGTTTGAACCACTGACCTCGTGATTAGCAGTTCAGTGTTTATCCTACAGCGCAACACCAGGGCATTTTTAAAAATCATTGTGCTAGACACGCAAACTCACTGCATGTTTCCATTTATATGAAGTTCTGCCACTTGCTGTTGAGTTGACTCCAAGTCTTAGTGACCCTATGTGTGTCACAATAGAATTGTGTTCCACAGAGTTTCCAGTGGTGGTTTTCTTCAGAATTAGATCTTCTGAAGGACTCTCTGGGTGGCCGTTCTCCAATCTTTCAGTTAGCAGCCAAAGTGGTAACTCCACATGAAGTTCTAGAAAAGGCCAAACAGTCTGTAGTGACAGACACTATATCAGCAGTGGAGGGGATGACTGCCAGGGAGCATGAGGAAGCATTCATTCTAAGGTGATGAATTGGGTGTGGAGTGGGAGATGGAGGTGGTGATCTGAATGTCCTCATTTGTCAAAACTCTTCAATTATACTCTTAAAATAAGTGCATTTTTCACAGAGTGTACAGGGATGGGCAACTTGGACATTGGCTACCCAAAATGGGGTGGAGGGGATGGGGGGAGGCCCACAAAGGCAAGAAGTGACTGGCTTACAAGCTTTCAAGAGGGAACCTAGATCCAGAGGGCCTGGAGGAAGGTAGACTCTCCACTGAGTAGTATCCAATCTGTCTAGGCGGGGCTGATGAAAGGAAATGCGGATAGGTCTCTTGTGACACAATAGTGAATAATTGTTGTCAGGACTGATTGTGAGGGTTGGAAATGTAAAAGTAGACATTTTATAGTAAGGAGGGGAGTGATTAACATTTCAGTCTAAGAGCGGAGGTCCTTGGGACCATCAATTGAGAAGAGTGGAGAGCAGGACCCTACCCAGAGAAGCAGTGAAGCCAGAGACGGAGGCAGGGATGATGACGTGGAGAAATGGAGCAGCTGGAGACTTTGGATCCAGAGAGGGCAAGGGGCTGTGTGCTGACAACTGGGGTGCAGGCTTGTAGTGTATACCCTTTGGTTGGTTGATGAGGCATGGAGGGGATAGTAACCATGGCAATGAAATGATATATGATAGGATGAATATAAAACTAATGTTCTCCCATGTAAACTATCACATAATTCACACACAGAAAAAAAAAAAAAAATAAGTGCATTTTTAAAAAGCATAAGTAAATGACATCTCAATGCAGGTTAATTTAAAAACATAAATAGAGTCAGCCTGGAAAGGTGGTGGGTGCCATCCAGCGTGAGTGTAGGCGTGGGTGGGGGTGAAGTAGGCCTCCGAAGTGGGCATGAGTGTACAGTGTTTGAGGGCAGGTGACTGGGCCAAAGTCAGAGGAATACCCTATTCCAGGGGCAGGAAAAGGCTAGGAACCGAGCAACCCAGGAGATGGAGGAGAACCAGACAGCTGTGATTCCTTGGCTGTTTGTGAGGAGGACACAGTGCAGGAAAATAAAAGGACTGCCAATCCTGAAGACCACTGCTGGCCCCCAGGCCTCTCCCAACGGTCACTCTGAAGTTGGCTCAGGGCCCTGTGAATCTCAGGGACACCAAAGCAGGCCCAGATGGTGTGAAGGGTTAGAACAACCTCCTCTGGTGGCAAGCTTGAAACCTGAATGGCTAAGGAAGTCCATTGGAGCTTATACCCCAAGGTGACCTCTAGGGCAGGCATAGGCCCTTCCACACACTACACACCAAAAATCCAAACCCATTGTGGTTGAGTCAATTTCGACTCACAGAGACCTTATGGGACAGATTAAAACTGCTCCATAGGGTTTTCCAGACTATAGATCGGGGTAGGGAATGTCCGGCCTGTGGGCCCTTCAAGGCTCACGAAATCATCTGATCTGGCCCTGCCAAGGCAACCACATTTCCAGCCATCACGTTGTTGTTGGTAAATGCCGTCAAGTCGGTTCCAACTCATAGCGACCCTATGTAGGGTCTCTGAGTAGTGACTGGTGAACTTGAACTGCTGACCTTGTGCTTCAAACCAAGCTTACAGTCCAGCACATTAACCCACAGCACCACATCAGGACTCTAGTCATCACGTTGTTGTTGTTATTGTTAAGTGTTGTCAAGTTGGTTTTGACCCATAGAGACCTTGAATAGGGTTTCTGAGGAGCAGCTGGTGAACTTGAACCACTGATCTTGTGGTTCAAACAACTTCGCAATCCAGCGCATTAACCCACAATGCCACACCAGGACTCTAGGCATCACATTCAGGGTGAATTACTTCAATGTTTGACCAAAAATAGCAGGCTAATTTTTAAGTTGATTATTTTGTATGGCTCACAAATGATGTTACAAATTTTGGCAGAAAAAACACCCCTTGCTGTAAATCTTTACAGAAGCAAACTGCCACAGCTTTTGCATTTCAGCTCATCTTTCATCCCATAGATTTCTTAATTTGGCTGTTGGGCTTGAACTGCTGACCTTCCAGTTAGCAGATGAGCACTTTAACCACTGCTTCACCAGGGCTCCTTCCATGCTCTATAAAGCTGCTAAATTTAGCCAGGCAGGGGGAAACTGTCCTGGGGCCCAGTGCTTGGCAGCAAAGCTTTGTCTCCCTACAAGGTCTGGCCCAGTACCCAAGCAGGCCACTCGGCTGTTGGGCTTATAAGGCAGGCCTGGCAGCTCTCAAGACTTGGGGCAGGCTTTGGGCCAAGCCCTCAGACTTTGGGGAACCTCCTTCCCAGCCCCCAATAGACATGGGAGCTACTCATTGTAAAACCTTGGGCAAGGTATTTAACTTCAAGTCTCAATTTCCTCGTCTATAAAATGGGGATACCAGTACCGACCGCCTGGAGATATTGTAAGAAAACCAGAAGGTTTCCAGTGTGTGGAAAGTACTCTGCCACCCACAAATTCATTCCCAGGCCCCACAATGCCTAGAACAAGCACAGCCTTTCTCCTGGGCAGGCTGGGGTTGGGACCATGGATAGGAAAGCCCGCCAGACCAGAATGATACCTTTTAGAACCAACACAATGAACACAGAGCTATCAGCTTACTCTTGTGGAGTTGTGAGGAGGGGAGCGATTTGGGAAGAAAAATGTGATTGATTGCTTTTGTTTCTTTTTCTTTATGGCACACTTTGTTTTTAAACTTTTTGTGAATTGAGTGAAGGTGTACAGAACAGATCATCAGTCCCCTTGTGGTACACTTTAGATATCCCAAATGACACTATCCTGTATACCAGGCTGTTTATAGAGTGCTGGGCTTGGTGCCGAGGCTGTATCAGGCGCAAGGGTATGTGGCCATCATTAGTCCATCTGTTTGGCCAGCACCTGGCTCTTTGGAGAAGGAGGAACCGTGTGAGAGGGTTGCCTTCCCTCCCATGCTCCCCCTTTCCCTTCCTTTCCCTTCCTCATCCAGGTGTGTGAGGGGAATTAGAGGAGACTTAGACCCAGTCTTGGAATCCATCCACTCCCCTTCCCAAGCAGCTTGCATCCTGGGCCTCTCATTCTCGTGACTATGGACCAGCTGGGAAAGGGACAGACTCTTTTGTCTGAGGTCAAGATCTGACCAAAGCGTCATGGCTGTCACAGCCTGGGTTCTCTGTGTCTCTGGAGTTTTCCATAGAAAAGCTCAGAGTGGACTTTTGCCAGCCCCTCTTGAAGGTGGCGTCCCATAGTTGTGCCTGAGACATCCATACTGGATTGGTAGCAACATGGATGAGACTGATCTATTAGAAGGCGATAGGTCTGGGGTGTGGTCAGGGACCTGGCTTCCTGCCCAGAGAGATTTTCCAGCTAATGACCTTTCAGTAAGATGGCTCCTTAGCATGGCTGGGGAGCTCCCTCTAGAGCCCTGGGGACCCCAGAGTGAGTTAGGGCTGCCAGTGAGTCTCCTGCCTCTAGCTTAAATCTCCAGTACCACCAGGGGAACCTGGCCAATCCATTCCTCCAATGTGAGTTTCACGTTCTTGTCTGCAAAACAAAGAGTGGGGGCAGAGAGGACCCTTGCTGGGGGACTCCAAGAGATAACAAGGTTCAGTCTCACCTGACCCACTCCCCGCAACCCTCCTTGGGAGTCCCCTTGTTTAGGAGCTGGGATGGGGTTGATGAGGGCAGGTATTTCAAATTCATAATAACCTCCAGTTCCCGGTCCTGTCTTGACAGGATTCTAGGGGCTTCAACCTATGGGGAAAAGACCCTCCCCCATTTTACAATTGAGGAAAGCAGGCTCAGAGAGCTGAGACAACTTGCCCAAGCCCCCGTGGCCAGGAAATGACAAAACCAGGATGTTAATCCCAGACAGGCCCAGGTCTTGGCCCAATGTTGTGTGGGTACCTGCCTCCTTCTCTGCTCTGGGATGAGGTGGAACAAGACAAGAGGTGGGAGATGAGGTTCCAGCCCAAGGACCAGAGGGCTAAATGGGTGGAGGGCAGCTTACCAGGATAAGCCAAGGGTGGGGGTCCTACCATGGGCACAAGAAATATCAGGCAGCTAGACGTGATCTCCCTCCTTCCCCTTCTGTTCTACTGGCTGTAGGTCCCTGGGGACTGAGCTGCCTGCCCACCCTGGTTTGGGGGAAGGGAGAATGTCTGGGGATGGGTCCCTGGCTTTGGAAGGGCTTTGACTTAAGGCCACCCCAGTTCCCCCAAGCCCTGGCCTAAGCTCAGGAGCGAGGGGGTAGGCAGAGGGCGTGGGGGGTGTAGGGAGGCTGACAGCTTTATCTTTGCCCCTGTGACGGGTGGCCTGTGGTTTCCTGCTAACAGCTCCTGTTTCCGGAGGTCAGCAGGACCCAGGCGGAGCCAAAAGGGGTAGTGGGGCTGGGCCTGGGTGGCCCCACCGGCCCCGCCCCCATCTATCTTTGGGACTTTATTTGTCCACAGGAGCGGCTGGCCTGCACTCCATTGCGTGCACTGGCCAGGAGCAGCTCTGACCACCCAAGACTTCTCCCTCCCTGATGCATCCACATCTCCAGCCTGACCTCTGACTCCTGACCTCTGGCCTTATCTGCCCTACGCTGCCCTGCCTAAGGTGGCCGGGAAGCTCCCAGAAGTCCAGTCTTGGTTTTGGGCAGTGCAGGGTTCTCAGCTCTCGGCCCCACCCTGGCCCACCATGGCACGGCGGCTCCAGGACGAGCTGGCCGCCTTCTTCTTTGAGTACGACACTCCCCGAATGGTACTCGTGCGCAACAAAAAGGTGGGCATCATCTTCCGGCTGATCCAGCTTGTGGTTCTGGTCTACGTAGTCGGGTGAGTCTGGGCCCCTTCCCTGCCGCCCTCTCACACCAGCCCCCCAACCTGGGCCTGTCTCATGCTCTGAATGTCCCCCCATGACGACAAGGAACCTCTTTTTCTGTGCCCCTTGGAAGACCTTCCTAACAAACCCCCATGTGGTACGAAGGAATGGAGAACCTGCTAACTCCCTGTTGAGATGGGAACATCAAAACAGAGAGCAAGCCCTGCCCGGTTAGATGGTGTGCAAGAGAGGCAAAGCAGTTGCTTACGTGATGCGTGGCACTCAAGACCAGGATCCCAGCAAACTGCAGCTCCCTCAGCTCTCCTGCTGCCCTCCCTGCCAAACCAGGTAGTACTGAGACAGAGCCATGCTCACCTTATTTGAGGTCTCTGTTGTTAAGTGCCCACGAGTCAGTTCCGATAGGGAAAAAGAACCCCGGTAGTTTAGTGGATTACAAAGGTCCACTGTTTGAATCCACCAACTGCTCCGCAGGAGAAAGATGAGGATTTTTGCTCCTGTACAGATTGACAGCCTTGGAAATCCCATACAGGGTCGCTATGAGTTGGAATGAACTTGGTGGCACATAATCACCAGAGTAAAAGATTCCTGTCTACTGTGTCGGTTAGGGTCGCTATGAGTCAGGATTGACTCAATGACACACAGTAACAGCAGAGCAGAGAAAGCCACAGTTTCTGAAGTCCTAGTGCCTTCATGGTGGGTGTTAGACAGGAGGTGCTGGTCAGTTCTGTCCCCAGAGATGATAACTTCCTTCTGAGCTCTTGGCTCATTCCTTGACAGGGTCAGTTGCAGGCTGGGACTGTCCTGGGGTCACAGTCTGGCTATCCTAGCAGCTAAGACAGGCCTCTGTCTTGCTCATGTGTATGCCTATATGAGCACATGTGTCCTGCCCATGGCTCTGTTGCCCTGGTACCTTTGTGTGATTTGGCATGTGCTCAATGTCTGCTTGTTGTGTCTCTGGGGGACATGTGTGCCTTGTGTGTGGTGCATCATGTCCACTCCTACTGACTCTGAGGAGGGCTCCCCGAGGACCCAGGGACACTGAAAGGGCTCGGCTCCTGCTGGAAGTCTGGGGCTGCCTCGCATCCTGCCCAACTCTGTTATGTGATCCTGAGGCTCTGGCCTTCTGGTCTCCATGTCCCTGTTTTTGCTGTGGGAGCTAACCAGAACTGCTGAATTATTTGGAGCTGACCAGGATGAGCCAACCAGAGGTTGCCTACTCAGGCCTAGATCACCCCTTACCCCTGGAGACTGGGAGAATGTCCTCACTGTGGCCCCGGTGGTCCCAGAGCTCTGCTCCCTATATCTATTGCCAGATCAGCACCAAAGCCCTCTGTGCTGGTCACAGAAAGAGTGGGAGGGACAGTCCAGTTGTATTTGGCACCTAGGCCCTGTCACTCACTCAAGTCACTATTCAACCCTAAACTACATACCTCCAAGGATGAGGGCCTAACTAGCCCCCTCCTTTCCAAGGTAACTTATTCAGGTTCCAAGTGGTTGTGACTCTCCCCAGTATGAATGATAAAGATGTCACAACTAGTAAGAGGCTGAGTCAGGACGCATTACCAAGTCAGCCTGGCTCTAAAGTCAGGCATGATAGCCTGGAAAGGAAGCAGTCTCAAAGAGGGTCACAGATCTGCTCAAGTCATGCAGCAACTCAGAGGCCAGAAGAATTAAATCCCTTGCCAGGTTTCAAGCTCCAGTTTGGACTGAAGCTCTCATTGTCTCTGGCGCCCTCATCTGGCCACCTCTGAATGCTGCACTGACGGAAAATTGGCGCTGCCTGGAATTCAGCCATCCTCAGCAAATCAGACCTAAGTTTCCCATATGTTCCACTGGAAAAGCACCTACCTAAAAACACTGTGCCCAGGCTCAACAATTTGTTCTTTCCTGACGAGAACTGGACCTTACCCGCATACCTATCTGGATGTCTGCACCCATGGTTATTGAAAGAAGAACAGAGGGAACCATGAAAGAAGAGTCAGACTCTTGGACCTGGGAGACGGGGGCTCCACCTGGGGGCAGGGGAGAGATACACTCAGAGATAGAACTGACCAAAGGGACAAATATTGGAGGCCAACAATTCAGATGAGACAGAGGCAGAGAGTGTGATGCAGAGAACCCAAATAGACTCTAGGGAGGGAAACTGAGGCCCCAGTCTCTATCCATTATACTCTTCCTGACAGTCCAGGAAAAGCAGAGGGAGCAGGTGGGCTTGAAGCCCTAGAGGGCTGAGCAAAATATCACTCTTGGGGCTCAAATTAAAATGGTCACATCACATTTAGAGTTGTTGCCTGGGAGTGATGAGTTCCCTGCCACTGGAGGTATGCAAGCAGTGGGCTTCCGGTATGCAATGGGCTGTCATCCATGATCTTTAAGCTTGAAAGACTGTAGATGATATGGAACAGGTCCATGCTAGGGGGTGTCTTGTGATATGTCTCTTCCCAGGGAGGGGGGGCTCTGGTTGAAGGCAGAGTGAGGTGGTATGTCTGCAGGGGTTTGTGACTGATATTTAGGGAGAAGAAAATACTTGGAAGAGGTGACATAGTGGAGGATCCAGCCATGGACAAAGACCCGGGCAGGTTTACTTGATCTTGAAATCTTGGGTGTCTGCAATCTCCAAATGGGTCTCAGAGCATACCAGTCGGGTTGAGTTGGACTCCAACTCTTGACAACCCCATGTGTGTCAGAGTTCATGTGTATTCTCTGTAGTAGATAAGCAGGCCTGTCTGTCTCCTGAGACATCTCTGGGTGAACTTGAATTTCCAGCCTTTCAGTCAGCAGCCAAGTAAGTGCACTGACCATTTACAATACCCAGGGACTCCATCAGGGCTAAGGGCAGAGACAAACTATCACTGAGAGAAAGTCATCCAGGGGATATTTCTGCAGAGTCTGGGTTTGTGCTGGTTCCCGCGGGACAGAGGGAGAGACTGAGGATGTTTCCAGACTCTTCCGGATGACAGAGGATAGAGGTAGATCAGCCCTGACGGCGTCTGGAGAAGGAACCCTTCTTGTAGACAAAGTAGCCAGGACTCCTTTGGCTTCCAGTGACAGAAGCCAGACTCAAACTGAATATAATGCAAAGCTGGAGGTAGTGATTGGTTTATGTGACAGAAAAACCAGCGTGTGCTCCAAGCACACCTGGGTCCTCCACCGTGGGGGCACAGCAGGAGCAAGCTCCATGTGGAGAGGAGTTCAGGTTGGTCCAGTGGAACGACCTTCTAATTGAGATGTGGTTCGCATACTGTAAAACTCACTCTTTTAAAGTGTGCGATTTGGTGGTTTTTAGTATACTTGCAAAATTGTATGCCTTTCACTGTCTAACTCTAAAAAGAAACCCCTTCCCATGGGCGGTCACTCCCCACACCTTACTTTGCTCATTCTGGAGACTTTATGTTCATGGGATCTTATCTGTGGTCCTTTGTGTCTGGCTTCTTTTACTTCGATTTTAAGCTTCATCCACGTTATAGCACGTATGCATGTGCATTCATACCAAATACATTACAGTACTCTATGCGAGACAGGCAGAGCTCAATTAATTGTGGTTCACTTCCTTCCTCTTGCCAAACAGTGCATTTTTTACGAATTGAAAGTGTGTGGCAACCTCGCAACAGGCAAGTCTATTGGCACCCCTTTCCCCATAGCATGCGCTCGCCCCATGTCCTCGTGTCACATTTTGGTAACTCTCACCCTATTTCACTCTGCGCATTCCAAAGAGAGGTGACCAAAGGAACATGGACGTCATTGAACAATATCATTTATATCACATGCAAGTAAAACTTGCCGGGATAATAAAGAAAACAAAACACATTGCTGAAGATAAGATAATTCAACAGGGAACTGCTGGAAACTCAAGTTGGATTCAAAAAAGGACATGAAACTAGGGATATCATTGCTGATGTCAGATAGATAGATCTAGGCTGAAAGCAGAGAATGCTAGAAAGATGTTTACTTGGGCTTTGTTGATTATGCAAAGGCTTTTGACTGTGTGAGTCATGACAAGCTTTGGATAACATTGTGAAGAATGGGTATTCTAGATAATTAGTTATGCTCATAAGGAACTATACCAAGAGGTAGTTGTTAGAACAGAACCCGGGGATGCTGAATGGTTTAAAATTAGGAAAGGTGTGTGCCAGGGTTGTATTCTTTCACCAAATTTATTCAATCTGTATGCTGAGCAAACAATTTGAGAAGCTGGATTATATGAAGAAGAACGTGGCATCAGGACGGGATGAAGACTCATTAACAACCTGTGGTATACAGATGATACAACCTTGCTAGCTGAAAGCAAAGAGAACTTAAAATACTTCCTGATGAAGATCAAAGACCACAGCCTTTGGTATGGGCTACACCTCATGCCAAAAAAAAAGAATCCTTACAACTGCACAACACCCATATAAATGGAGAAACGATTGACGTTGTCAAAGACTTCATTTTGCTCGATCCACCATCAACACTCATGGAAGCAACAGTTATGAAATTAAATGATAGATTGCATTAGGCAAATGTGCTGCACAAAACCTCTTTAAAGTATTGAAGAGCAAAGATGTCAGTTTGAGAACTAAGGTGTGCCTGACCTCAGCCATGGTATTTTCAGTTGCCTCATATACATATGAAAGTTGGACAGTGAATAAGGAAGACTGTAGAAGAATTTTTGTGTGATGGCGTTGGAGAAGAATATTGAAAGTACTGTGGACTGCCAGAAGAACCAATAAATCTGTCTTGGAAGTACAGTCAGAATATTCCTTGGAAGCCAGGATGGCAAGACTTCGCCTATCATATCCGACACATATTGTAAAGAGGGACCAGTCCCCGGAGAAGAACATCATGCTTGGTAAAGTGGAGGGTCAGTGAAAAAAAGGAAGACCCCCAATGAGATGGATTTATACGGTGGCAGCAGCAATGGGCTGAAACGTAACAATTGTGAGGATGACGCAGGACCAGGCTGTGTGTCATTCTGTTGTGCATAGGGGTCGCCAACACCTAACAACAACAC